TAACACCAGGTTAAGATTATTTATATTTTCAGTAATTTCCTCCTGTTGCGTATTCTCTTAATCCAGGATTAAATTCTAATTGTGGTTAAATCCTTGGAAAGCTCATCACTTTGAATGGAAGTTCTAGGAAGACAATATGCCTGAGGTTTGAATAAGAAGTTTCAGGGTGTGAATCTTACTACCCTGCAAATTCTGGATGTTTTATGCAAGGCAAACACAAATAATAATAATGAAGACAGAAACCTCACAGGCTGTTCTCAGACATGATGGGAAAGGCAACGCAATGAAAGCACAGTGCCCTCGGTTTTGCTCTATTTGATGCTGCCTGCACACAATCTCGCATGAATATGTTAAGATAAAAGTCTGTGTTCTTTTGCTAACTTGGATGCTGGAGCTAAGCATGCTCTGTGTCATCAAAAGCAATCAAAAAGTATCATCCAGAAGGAAAACCTGCACTTCAAAGTGGTCAGAATCAACCTGTGCATAATTTGACGCAGCACAAGAACAGATGGAGTTAAGCAGGACGTTTGCTTTTTTCTATAATTTTATGTGATGACCAAAACTTTAGTGAAGCCAGTGCAGCCCTGTCCAGCCACTGCCTGATCTGTGTAACCAGTAGCACACAAACACAGTTACTGCTATTGCCAGTGAGCTACCACAGCCTGTGCACTGACACTGCAGCATTAAGGCATGTCAGGCTTGCTTTGTCTCAAATTGCCTTAGCCTGCCTGGAACTTCATTGTAGCTGGCTTAGCTGTGACAACAGTTTATTTTAAATATCAGGTCACTATTTCCTGATTTGATCATAGGATATAACCACAATTTTTATACAGAAAATAGTGAGTAGTTATTTTGTGCAAAGATAAATTTTTATTCCATCATCTTAATATTGCAGTGTAAAAGGAAAAAGGTCAGACACGGTGATTGAGGGCTGTCTGTGGCAACCCAAGATGCAGGGGAGAGGAGTGCAGACATGAAAAGGGTAAGAGAAGAGAGCATGGGAATGTCCATATTTAAGAGCTATGGATAGCTCAGCAGCAAACAATCAAATGTGAACCTTTGACACAGGTAAAACTGGTTTATAGGTACCAGAGGAAACAGAAAAGAGGTATACAACATATGTAAGATATTTTTTATACAAGTCATTCAGACATAATGTGGAGTTGCAGACCAAATAAAAAGAACAAGCTGTAAAGTAAGAAAGAAAATCTACCATATTAAGCTCCGAGCAGACTTTAGAAAGAGAAGAAAGGAATCAGGAATTTCAGCATCATGCTGCTTGGGCACTGCCATCGTGTTCTTTTCAGAAAAAAAAAAAATAAGGCAAAATTATGCTCCCTGTCACTATTTCCTCCTCTGACTGAAGGCAACTGCCTGAAGACTCGAGAGAAAGAGTGGAAAGGTAAGTAAAACACCAGGGAGAATGATAGGTGCTAGAAAGTATGTGTTGTATTGAATAGTTATGGATACTTTTTCCCATGTTAGTGTTCTTTATTTATTTTCTTTCATCATAAATGAAATACATTTAAAACGCTTTTGGCTTCTCTGTTACTTCCCGTCTAATTCCTAATCTGCAATAGCTGAATTTGCAATAGCTTGCTTAGTTCCTAGAATGCAACTTTAAGTTTCTCCTGACATTAAAGTACTGCTGATACATCAAATGCTGGAGGTTTTGTTCTGCCTTTTCTGCGGAGAGTGATTTCTTTAGATGAGTCAATCACAGATCATTCAGTGCACCTGCCCCTGTTAGTGTATTTCAGAGCGTGGTAAGTAGAAAAACCCTGATATAGTCTGCCTTTTTGAACCAACACCTAAAAAATTAAAGAACAGTATTCACATCTCAAAACATGTACCATTTTGAAATTACAGGCATATGATGTAAGCCCATATTTGGGGAAAATTGATGCTCTCACTGGGCTCCCCTCCAAACTGGAGCAGTGAAGCACTACTGCAACACAGACAGCAAAAGCACCCCAGTGACAGAACCAGCCAGCCATTCTTTTGAATTGGGTTTGTTTAAACCTGCTACTGTAACGAGCTCACCAAGGATGACTGCAAGGCTTTTAATGCCAAAAATCCAAGTTTTACTGTAGCAGGAGCTACAGGAACATTCTTTTAATAATAAAAAAAGAAATCAGTGCAACTCATGAAGACAGGTTAGAAATAAAAGAGCTCAAATCTTGTATTCCTTTGTGCCACAGAAAGGCTCCTGCCTTTTAGCCATTCTCTCAGTGGTTGCCAAGAATGGCCCCACCTCTTATTAGGAAACCCTCTATCACCTCAGAAGCAGGACTTGGCCCCGCTTCACTTGAGACCTCTTGCAAACTGATTCAGCTGTCCAAAAAGTTTTATTTTCCTTTACCATCACCTAACCTCTGCAGTGTGAGTTCAGCTCAGAAAAGGGAGTTTAAATAATATGAAGCTTCAGCCACCTAATCTGCACAAAGTATTTTCCATTCTCTTCAATCATCTTTCAACATGAAAGTAGCATATATCTGAAGAAGCAAGGTAGCCTGTTTTTGTATTAGCATCAATCTAAAGAGTGTTCCTTGAGAAATAGTTCATTTCAAACTGTATATTGCAGTAATAAGCACTGACCAAGCATTTTTTTCTGTCATGTAGTTTTCAATATCAATCACAACCTATAGAACACAACCCCACAGAGAAAAATTAGCATTCAGGATTGATGAGATGAAGAATAATGTATGAAACTGAATAGGCTAAAGCCCATAGAAATCATGGCAGAAGTATGGATTTTGCAATATATTCATTATGTGATGCAACCATTTTCTTAACTGAGTTTGCCAAATAACCCAACACAGGCAAAAAATTGTGGTTTAGACATTTAATTACAGAATGCATAGAGTGCAATTGTTTTCATTCTAAAATGTCACAGCAAGAGCTAACATCCAGGGTTAAACAGGCATGTTTTGAAATGTAAATGGTCAAGCATGTTGTTTTACATTATGATCACTCTTCAGTTTTAATATTTCAGGTGTGATTTTGTTCTACAAAATTGGATATTGGTTACAAAAAAGTAGATTCAAATCTGGCTCTTACTGGTAAACAATTCCAAACGGCTTGCAGCAGGCAGTCATTCCTGTTTGTCCATCAACAAGTTTGAAGCGTTACTTGCCTGATCTCAGGATTTTTTTTCCTTTTCATTCAATGTGCCTTAGAAAAGAATCTGTGCAAATACTTTCAACAACTGTATTTTATTGGAACCAGGGAAAGCATACATGACCTGGATTTGAAAAGATCTTCTGTCACTGATATAAAATGCGTTTTCTGGCTACCTTGATGAAATCCATAGGCATAACTCATCATTGTGTGACTGTTCATTGCAAGACTAAGTGACGTCTTATTGGATAGTAACAGGTTTTTTTTCACTTTGTAGGGAATATTCTAATTAAAAATGTTAAGTGAAAATGAAAATAATTCATCAAGAAGAATCTATGTAGACAAGTTCCTACTAATATACCATTGGATTTGCCTGGAAATCCCTCAATTACAGTTCTATAAAATTTCAGAAAATTTTATGCCTTACAGAGACAAAACTGTACTTTCACTCCACACAACCAATTTTTTATCTGCTTATGGTTTATCTTAACCCATTCCTTCTGAAAAGTTTTCCTTTTGCCTCTTCCTTCAACGGTCCTTTCCTTTAACCCATGTATAACAGGCATTGTGAAAAAATAGTGCTGTGAGAACTTACACCAGTTTTCTGAAATAATCATTTCTTTGGCAACTGCCCAAATTTCCGTGCTCCTCAGGGAAAACAGGTGCTTGTTGGGAGCATTCATCATATGTTTTCTGTCACACACAAATTTTAATTTTTAGGATTTTTCTGTATTGGAAACAGTACATTGGATTGCAACATAACCAGACTGAGGATGCCAGGCCAGTCCTGGCTGCTGTGATATTTGCTTTTTTGTGCTGGTATATATGTCACTTTGAAAGCGCTTAGGCAAATAGGGAGGATTCAAAGGCTGTTGCATTTTTTAGCAGCCCAAGTAGAAGATACTTATGGCTTGTATCTGCTCTAAATTGGCTTTGCCTGCTGCCTCAGAGACCACTGGTTGGTTTGGTACGTTGGTAAGATGGGCTTTATTGCCACATTGTGTCCTAGTCCGGTCATTTCATCGCTGCCTTTATTCAGCTATCCCGAGACATTGGTGGCTCCAGGCGTTTCCTCGCTCATTTCCCCTGTGGCAGCGGCTGCCCTGAGCCCTGGTGCAGCCCCGGGGGTGATTTGGGGTGCCGTGCCCCAAGGCCGTTCGCATGGTTTGTGTCCTTCCTGTGGGCCCAGCCTGCAGCAAAGGGGTGCTTTAGGGTCCTTTCATAGCCAAGTCCATTTTTCACGTGCCTTCCCACAATTGCAGCTGTGTCAGACGCAGTAATTTGTCCAATACTACCACAGCATTTTAGTTCTCTTGTCCTTGTATAGAACTGCCCATAGCATATGCTGCTCTAATCCTTTCAAAGCCCTTTGTGAAGATAGTGAATGCACCTGGGGATAATCTCTTTGAAGACACTAAATTGGTCACCACCAAAGCACTGAGAGACACGAAATTAGGCTCCTGTAATCTGCAGAGGGAGCCTTCCTCTCGTTTGGAAGCATGGTCACTGCAGACCCACCAAACAAACCACAGCAGTTTGCCCAGCCTCTCTTCTTCACTGAAGTATGCCACCAGAAGGAGGAAGGAGAAAACTGAAAGCCGATCAAGGTTTTAATCACTCTCAGTGTGTGAAGACTGGGGTGGGGGGAAAACAATCACCAAAAATTATGTTTAACCACTTTGCTGCTCTGTCACTGTCGAGGCAGGATGGGAATGAAGAGACTCTGGCTCAGAAGGCTGCTGAGAGTAAAACTCCGGTTTATTCAAAATACACTGCTTTTTATACAGAGCTTTGTGAGGACCAACTCCATTGGTCCTGAAGTGAAAACAACCCATAGCATTGGTGCAAAGTGCTTGACGCACAGTGATAGAGCTTAACTATAAACAATGTGAAAAACAAGAGAGATAAAAAATTATTTACATTCTTTTCCAACTCTTTCCCAGGCTTCTGCCTGGCTAGAAACTCCCATTTCTCTCTTTGACTGAATCTTAGACCCACACTGCTCCAAATGAATTAATTTAGACTCAAGTTTTTTATCAATTATGACTACAACCTGATTGTTAAGAGAGGCCATATCTAAAACACAATCATTGATACCCCAGAAAAGACTAAAAGTACTCCCAGCTGACTCAAATCCCACTCACTTCAACAAAACAAGATCTCATTTCTCAACAGTATGGGAAAACATGGGTCCAACATTGTACTTGGACCTTACTCCAAGATTAGAGAGTACTTAGCAGTCTAAAAATATGATCCAAAGTACTTACATTTTTTTTCAACCTGTACTGGAAATTACCTTCCCTTCTTTTTAAATTAACACCTATCCTGCTGGTAAAGTAAGTTATTAGATTATTTTTTCTGCTATGTTAAAGTCACATTCTCAGGTGATCACACCTCCCTGTTTTGGTTTTTTTCACTGTGCCATTTATTAATTTGTGTGAGATTTCCCCTGAATTTCATTTGAACTAAAATTCCACTCATCTTCAGTGAAGAAAAGAAGATGAAAGTACAGCTATGTAAGCTATGTATCAGTATGGTGTGGGTGTGTCTGTGAGCCTGTAGGTTTTGTGGTGTCACCTTATTTTAAAGGAAGTTGTCTCTTTTGTAAGATACTATTCATTAGAGGTTTTTGCACATAGCAGTAATGTCTTTTGGTGGCCACAGGTTTACAGGCTGTATTAATAGATAGGATTAGTGAAGAAGAATAGGTCAGAAGGCTGCAAAGCTCCTGTCCCTTGAGATTTTCTTCTTTAGATCATTAGTCTTATTGAGAGCTCCCTTGAATACAGCAAGCAGAAACTGAGAAAAAGGCTGGAGCCATTTTATTCACCAAGACATTCTGGGAAGGGTGATTTCTGCATCAGAAGCTCCACTGAAAATGTCTGTTCAGTTTTCTGCACAGGCACCCTGGAGGAACAACAACATCAGTTTTCTGACCAGAGAGGCAGCTGTAACAGAGCAAGGAGAGACTATCATAGGTTTCTACCTGTTGGCTCTAGGTAGGTATTTGGCTTGGGTGTGAAAGGAAACTCTTAAATAGATGTTGTTATGTAATTCAAAGTGATTCATTTTATCCCTAACGGAACAGGATGGTAGAAAATGTAACTTTTTTTCAGCAATTGCAAGATCAGAGAAGTACATCTTGCTTTTGTTAAAAAGAGACTTATAATCTATGCAGAAATCTTGTGGAAAAATAAATAGTCAAGCCTGTAAACTTTCAACTAGTATTCATTAAGCTTAATACATGGGAAGATAAAAAAAGTACCTAAACAAAAGAAGTACATGATAATTCCATATTTTCTTGTGTTTCAGTGGCACTGAATAAATGTTCCCTGGTTTTCAGAGTTGTGGCTGTTGACAGTCTGTTGGCATTCAACAGTTATCTTCTGGAGAAACACAAAATATGTATTGTGATTCTTAACTTTAATTTTTTGTATTGTTGGTGCTTTAAAAGCTGGATGAATATAGAAGTTGACTTCTTCAAGTAGGCTCTGAGAAATATCTAAGTACTAGAACCTTATACTGTGTTAGCAATCACAATACCAAGTGTTTCTTTTAATTCCACTGGAAGACAGCTACTGTAAGTGTGTAACAGGGATTTGAAAATGGTACTCAGTATAAATGCATTCTGATACCACTGTAATTTTGGGGTTTTTTATTTAAATAGTATCTATTTTGGGTAGACTTACTGCCTAACACAGGGAAACTTTTTAAAATTTCATAAAGTGCAAGGATGCTAAGTAATAAAAAATTTCAATTATAGAACCTCACAGAAAGGTAGAAGAAAATTTAACTTTTATTACATTGGTTCTTCTTCTACAGCATGTTTAGAAGACATAGAAAAACATTTCTATTTTTAAATTATGGACCTAACACATTCTTTTTATTCTTAACTTATTACATATTTCAATTAAGTTATCCCTCTGCTTACATTTGACAAAGGCTTGTGGAAGTTAAAATATTAAATACTAAGTATTTTAATATTTTTACATGAGACTTTCTAATTTTTATCTATAGAAACTAGGGAAAGTTGTGCTTAGAACAAAACCAGAGATTCTAGTAGAAATATATATTACTTCTATCTTAGGAGAATGATTGTAAGGTAAATCAGAGGTATTCCAGTTTATGCCCACTCTGTTCACATCTTCATATCCCCTCGTGAATGGCTGGGAAATGTCTGCACCATCAGCTAAAGAATTAAGCAGTTGCACTTAAGACTAGAAAGAACATCTTAGGTCAGCAAGGCCAGTCCCCTACAGAGACAATGTATAATCTCATTTACACAGCTGTTAACGCTCTCTCATGTAACTGGCTAGGAGGTTTTTTGGTGCTGTTATCACTCTCCCAATTGATAGCATGTTCCTGATTTTGTTCCTCTGTTGGATAGGAGCCTTCACCTAAATTCTTAGCTGAAATGATTGCAACAACTTTATACAATTTTTGCCTGTAAACGACATCCTATGGCCAATCTATGTTCCTGAAGGATCAATCATACCTTGAGGCCTACTTCTGTATTCCTATATTTAGCAATTGAGGGAATTTTATTTTGTTGGTTGATCAGGGGGCAGGGGGAAATTATATTTATTTATCTCAGCCTTATAGCCAGGACTGAATACAGCATCCAAGCAGGGTCTTGCCATCACTATTCACATTCATATTTGTAGTCTATCAGCTCTACTGATCCCTCCCAATATTGCCTCTGCATCACACTGGTAGGTCAAACTTCTTCCATCAATCAGCCAGCAGAGATGTTCTCCTCTGCTGCTTCCTGGTAGTGATCTCACATCTTCTAGCAAATACCTAGGTGCCTGAGCCTTTCAGATCCTTCAGCAAAGTTTACAAGTTCTCTGCATGTCATAGCTGCTGTACCTCAAGATTCAAAACTTAAGTTCCTTTCCTTGCAGAGTATGTACAACCAACAGAAACACTACTCCAAGTGTAGTGTAGCGTAGATCTGGTTAAAACTGATGGATGTATGTATAACTTTTGGAAATTATAACTTTTGAAAAAATATGTTATTTATACATAAATCAGGAAAGTCCTAATTTCTTATCTCCTCAAAGGTCTGCTGTCACAGTTCTGCTAGCACTAGCCACAGCAATTTATAATTATTAGTTTAATGTACACCAATAACTCATTCTATCCAGGGAGCTGTGATGTGGCAGAACAAGTTCTCTGTCACACAGACACCCTCTCGTCCTTCTGGCAGCAGAGAAAAAGGGCCAGTCCGTCTGCAGGCTTCCTGTACCTCTGATGCTTTAGAGCTCTGGCAAGACAATCTACTTTAGCAGGAATCTACAGATACTTCCTTACACAGAGCCCCAGAGATGTTCATATTTGATACTCTTAGGTTTTTGATGCCTTGGAAAATGGCTTCAGTGATAACACTTCTCTAGTTACTATTTTCTTTTCCTTCAAATTTAAGTATGGCAGTGCAGCTTCTTTCAAATTCTGATGTACTTTTCCAAAACCAACGAGATGTATGTGATTGGTATTAGCATTTATCCAGAAGATGGGGTTCCTCTGAATCTCCTCACCTTCGCAGGATAAAGTCCTCAAAACCTGACTACATTTGGCCGTCTTCCTGGAGTCACTCATCTTGACAGAGGTCATGAATATCTAAGAGCTGTGATCTAACACCTTTTGCTGAGTTAAGACCTCTGTGTGTCCCCTCCTGGAAATTCTCCCAGGTGACAGGTAGCACAGCTGTCATTTGTGGCAGACAGGACACTGATGTGTGTGCTGTAGGTGGTACAGCAGCCAGGCAGTTTTGGATCCAGGTGAGGGCTCCTCAGCACCCTGCATGGAAGCCTAAATGCAGCCGTGTCACGTGCTGGCACTGCGAGGAAGCGTGTGCTGCATTTTGCAAATGCTGATGGACGTTGAGACCACTGCACTGCTTCTTGACACCCAAGCCACTGTTCCATCATTCTCCTTGTTAATGCTTTGGCCAGGGGATCAGCAAAGTGGGGGGAAGGTGCAATGCCCATTCAACAGCAGTGATCCACTCTCAGAGGGACTATCTGCAAGTGATAGCAGCCGCTGTATTACCCTGCACTAGGTCACCTGTGTCAGCATCCTCTTTCTGAAGGCAGCAGTCTGCTCCCATGCTTCCCTTCAATGAGCTCAAAACTGTCTCAAACAGACAGGTGAGAGCTTGTCCTGCTGCTGGGTTTACATCTGACCTCTTCTTGCCTATGCCATAAGTGGAGCAGTACTGTGGAAAATCCTTGTACAGTTTAAATTATGAGGTACGATTTAAAAGCATTGCCCACTGCTGCTAGCTTCTAGACATGGGAAAAAATAGAAAGCATTTTTTGCTTCATAATTCTTAAGTTGGAATTCCTAAGTTTGGTTTTTTCTGCATTTATGCGTAATTTGCTCTCTGTTTGCTTTCCCTCATTTCGCTCTTAACTGGGCCTGTTAGAGTAAATACAAGGCATAAAAGGAAATTTTAAGCCAGTAGGAGAGAGTATTTATTAGAGGGCAAATTCTGACTTTTTGTGAGTGCTTCCATCAGAAAGGCAGGCTAAGTGCCTTACCAATCCCATCAGAACAGATCACAAGATCCAAACATGTCTTTAAAAGGCACACACTTCCGAGTGGTAATAGTAAACTGTTACTTGACAAGTGACAGAATGAGTGTTATTTTGGGACTTTGTTTGACAGATAAATCTGAGAAGGTGGGAAAGGAAACAAGCTATTCACAGAACATTCATCCCCAAAATGATTGCGTTTATTGAACAAATAATCTGACCATGCTCTGTCAAGTCTAAAACAAGATGACTCTTTTCCTTCCTGCCAGAACTGGCAATATGCCCTGGGCAGGATATTGTGTGTGTGTGTGTAATTGGCAGCGAAGACTGAAAACAGAATAGGGTCACTTAACAGTTGCAGTAGTTAATGACAGCTTTGCAAAATCTCTGGATTTTAACACTGTTTTAATTAAAGTTTTCTAGGTGGAAAATCTTTTGCAACAAGCCTCTTCTGATAGGCGCTTATGCTTGTGTATGTGTAGTTGCATAAGTTATTGGTTTCATTCAAGCCTGCTCTGCATTAAGATGCTCAATCCAATTTCTGTCCTAGAGGAAGGTTATTTGCTGAGGAAAGAGTTTAGTTTGTCTTGTGACACTGGGCCTCACCTTTTGCTCTCACTTCTTGTTATCTCCCACTTAAGGTTCCATATATATTTTAATGACTTGGCTGAGTTGTAATACCAATTTTTCTATTTCTGTCTTGCCAGGTTTTGCAAGTAAAGGCCGTGCAAAAATGTCTAATAGGAGCAAGTCTAAGAAGAAAGCATAATAACCTATTCTGGCTTTGCACAGGTGAACTAATCTATTGGAAATGTGGACGACCATTTCAGGGCTATCAATTCACTTGTGCCAAATTTAATTCTTCAGAAACAATGTTGACAATGAAACTGCATGGAGCCTCAAGTGCTTATTACTTGTTCAATGGCCATCTCAGGTAGACGAGGAAAAAATAGGGCATGTCTGAATGCACAGGACAGAATGATTTGACAGAAATATTTTTAAAATTGCAATGTACTTTTTCAATATTCTTAGAGTTAAACAATCTCAGTGTTCTCAGTTGCTGTCAGCAGAAAGATTTTCAGTCTCCTTAGTCACTCTTTCTGGCTACGTTTCTGGTGCTTTCTTTGCATGAGTTGGTGGGCGTTACACTGACACAGGAGTGTGTGAATAGCTGAAGGGCTGCCAAGCAAGCTAACTTTCACCAGCTTGCTTGGCAGCTCTTCTGCTTCTCCATCAGAAATCATGGATAACAGCACCAGATTTCCTTGTGGAGTGCTTTTGAGATCTGTGGATTAAAATGCTCTCTTAGAGAGTGCTATTCCAGGAGAAGGATTACTACTGAATTATATAGGGGCAATACCACATTGTTAATACTGCCGTTCATCCTATTCCTCCTACCTCACAATATTTCCAAAACTACTGAAATATTTGCATATTATCTGTATATTTTGCCACATCATAAAATCTAGCATCTCTCTGATGAACAACTGAAGTCTGTGAACAACTGTAGTCTGTGCTTATGGGAAAAAAAGTGGTGGTCCATCTCTGAACTTTATGCTGGGTGGCAGTGCTCCGTTTCTACCTAGATGCCATTTTTTTTTCTCTCTCTCCACATTTTGACCTCAGTTGAAATCTGTCTTTTTTCACCAGGATTGCCTTAGTATGCTGGGTTTGGATTTTGGGGTTGGTTTGGGGTTTTTTCTGCATACTCTTATGAATGAATATTAGTGACAACTTGCCAAAGATGGAACAAGTTCCCTCAGTTTTTTACTTTCTATCTTCTGTTTTACCTGGTGACATGGAGGCACTTCAAAGTTCAGAGGTTGCTTTCTGAGCTCTTGATCTACCTCTGGTGTACCCTGAGGCACACACCACCTGAAATGCAGTTGAGGAGATCTCTGCCCTCACTGAGTGTCAGTGCTATTGCTCTGCTTGCCTTGAATTTTCAACTTCCTTCCCTGTTACGCTGTCAGGGCTTGGGGGAGGAAGGGAGAGGGGTTGTTTGGTTTGAGCCATTCTTTTGGTTGGGGTCATTTTCTGCTTTCGGGTGGTCTGTTTCAGGTTTTTTAAGTCAGTCAGTCAATACAGGCAGCAACCTAGACTAGCACATATATCTGCTGGCACAGAGATCCAGTGTCCCATAGTCACTGCTCTAGTTGACTCTAGTTTTATGTGACCACTGATTTTGTTATTGCATGGTTTACTAAGAACTGATTTTCTTCCATTTCTTTGGTTTTTTAAAAATCCAAACCAATATGGTCTACTACCCAGACAGACCATTTTAGGGACTGGATATGATGGCGCAGGTTCTCCACTGCTTTGCTTAAAACGACTGTGCCTACCTGCAGAAATCAAACTCTGTCACGTTATGTCCCTCAATTCATCCCTCATCTCCAGCCTCAGTTTGTGACTGTAGGTCCCAAAAATTATCGCAAGTACTGGGTCTCTCTCACCTTTCATTGTTCTAAAATGTGCAATGTTGCTTGATGTGACGTTTTGTTCAAGTTCTTCCTTAAGACACTTTAATTGCAATCTCCCTTACCGCCCAGGCTAGGGGGAATTTTTTCTGTATGTTCCCAGGAAGGGCAGGTTTCTGACACTGTGAGGGTAGCCCTCCTATCCATTACAATGCACTGGTAAAATTGTGCTATTTACAAAGGAGGTGCCATTTTATTTTGTCTGCCATTTTATCACTATGTTTTCATATGGACAGGGAAAAATATTTCATGCATTTTGCCTTGATAACTATCTAACCTTGCAGAGGGTAGAAGCAGCATACATAAACAACACAACTCCCACATTTGCATTGCAGGCTATCCTCATTCATTCCCAAAACCTTCCTCCCCCAGTGCCCTGCTCTGCCTATTTATAATACCTAGACTCAAACAACAGTCAGAAAATCCCTGAGTTAAAGTGCATGCAGTTGTTCAAAACAAGATTAAGAAACATTGTCACCTAGTGGTCAGAACAAGGTATATTTGTTATTGCTGATCTTGTATCAAGGTTATATATAGAATGTATATGTGTATCTCAGTGTATCATTGCACCAGTGAGTATTTCTGGTTAATACCATATGCTGACATTGCAGCTCTTCCCAGTTCAAATACTGTTCAGTAGACCATGTGCATTTGCTAAACAAGGCAGAGCAGCAGCAGCTTGGCCATGCAGCAAAGAGAAACTATTAAAAGTAAATTGCTCTACAGAAGAAGCAGTTCACAGAGCCATACAGAAACTGTCCCATCTACCACCTCCCTCCCACTCCAAAGTACCCAGAGCACCTCACCAGGAGGTATCTCTCTCTACCCCCTTTACTGGCTAAGCTACATTTTCATCACTGAGCCTGACACTTAAGTTAAGTCATTCATCTCTACACATCTCTGTAATTTCAAAAAGTGGGATGCAAGCCACTAGGGTCTCGCACTGATGGGCAGAGCAATATCTGTGGACATTTGGAAACTCTAGGTCTTTCCAGCAGAGTAAGTGTCTGACTGTCACCAGCTTTACAGTGTTTTGCTCACATACTTAGACACATACAAGTCTGGCATCTCTGTTCCTGAAGAGTAAGAGAGAATGCAGCTTTCTGAAAAATTAAATAAAAGAGACTTGGGAGTTCTATTTCAAATATTCTCTTCATATGGATTGTCATGTGCATTACTGAAAAATATTCCCATCTGGGACAGACTTTGCTGCAAGGAGATCCTAGATTGTTCTAAGAGAAGAAACCTAGTAGTATTGGCTGCCCTTTTCTAAGGAAAACTGATAAAGCAGCCCTCTGGCTACATGCATGAACTTTCTGTGTCCATTATTGTATAAGAGCAACTTAAACAGCTGCAGATTTTGGCAGACTGTTTATAGTCTCTGCTCCACTCTACCAATCTTTCTTCCTTCTTATTTTCTCAGGTGTAACACTTACGAGTTCCATCTATCCACTTAAGGAAAAAATCCACTTTAGATCCTTAAAATGGTGCATCTTCAGTAGGTGTAACAGCAGCTTTTTGCCTTTGCTCTGTTTTATTGCTGCACTCAGTTACTTGCTCCTACTTCTGAAATGCACCCAGCTGCTCAAAAAGGCTTCATGCATAGTTTTCTAGGGGATCTACTTCCAATGGAATGAAAGGGAATTTTAGAAGATATGTCATACATTTACACACTCAACAGCTTCTTTCTTTATTTACTTTTTGATTTCATAGAATCATAGAATGGACTGAGTTGAAAGGGATCTTAAAGATCATCAAGTTCCATGGATTTAATTTTTTTTTTCCAGGTTGGTTGTCTTGGTTTGGAAACAGCATTGTGATTTTTGTCCTGTATAAACAAAGACATGTTCTGCAGCCTACCGACTACCTCACATTTAACTTGGCAGTGTCAGATGCCAGCATCTCCGTGTTTGGTTATTCACGGGGCATCATTGAAATCTTCAATGTCTTCAGAGATGATGGATTCATTATCACTTCAATATGGACTTGCCAGGTAAGACTGGATTACAGTAAATTAGACAAAAGTGGTGTAGCTATTTCTCTGGGTGTGCTATATATAGATAACCAGACAGCACCCAAAGCATGAAAGGAAGTAGTTACTAACTCTTCAAAAGGAGTGTGTTCTCTTTTGTTACACCTGTAAATCTATGCATTTGATTGGTGCTTCACCAATTTTCAGTGTTTTTTGGGGTTTTTTTTCCTGTGTATTTGCAACAGTTCTTACAAGCTTGGTGATTTTACTTCATGTCAGAGTTCACACTCGTGTTGGAAAATCAAGGCATAAGCTGTGCTTGTCTTCAGGTCACCTGAAACCAATCTGGTTGTTGCTTTAAGACAAATGTTAAAGTGCCAATGTTGACTCCTGCTTGACAAGGCTTGTAGAGCAAAACGTCCACACAGCACTTGGGCATAACCATACATTTCAGCATGCAACATTTTGCTACAACTCTGTTGTAGCTCTTCACTCACATTTCTAAACTCTTGGTTGATTCATTGCCTGTGGTAGAATGAGTGATTTAACTTTATGGCAGAGTCCTCCCTGATCTTGGAGGCAGCTTTTTGTTGGAGTACTCAGAAGACGTTATTATTGTTAATTCCAAAATATACCTGTGTGGGCAGAATATAAATGCACCCCATGGACGCATAGGCACAAAGCTGGCTCCCCAGTGCTTTCAGCAACATCTGTGAGAAAGATTCTGCTCTGTTTCATCAGGGAATCAAAAATCTGAAAATGACAAGATAGCCTACAGCAAGGTGTAAGAAAGATCATGATGAAGGAAAAGGGAGAGAAAAATAATCCTCTTTTCTTGGAGGCTTGGTATTTTTGGGTTTTTTTGCTTGTTTGTTTGTTTGTTTGGGGGTTTTTTGGGGTTTTTTTTGTTTTGTTTTTTCTTTTTTAAGGAGGAAGTTTGAGCTATTGTGCAACATAGATGAAAGAACATTTACAGATCATGTCCCCTCCATTTCAATAAAAAAATTCTGTTTAAGCAGAGAGGAAGACTTCCTGTAGGACACTGATTAACCTAGAAGCTGTAGCTTGATCTAAAAAATTATTATTTTATTGTTTAAAATGTATCTCTCTAGTCATTTGGCAGAAAAGGATTTATCAAAATGAAGCTAACTATTTCCTCAGCAAAATCTCACCCTTTCTCTAATGAGATCACCTGCAATTGCAATCTAAGGTCTTTTGAGCAGAAACTGAATTTTTTCATTCATGGAAAACTTAGAAGTCATCAGATAAATAAGCACATAGCTGAAAACTGTAAGATTCACACCCATATTCAGAATTAAACAGATGGATATTTTCCCCCTTTCAAGGAAGGTTGGAGCTATGACTAAGAAAGGAAAGGTCAAATCTGCATCTCCAGGTTCAGCTCTAGCTTTGTTGCAGATTTCCTGTGTAAGACAGGGTAAGCCATTCAGTGTGAAATCCTGACTTGGGGAACCTCGAAAATGGGTGTAAACCCTCCATCTTCTAGATTAATAAACTTAACAAAACAGAAGCCAGTGATGAAAAAATATGTTATGGAAATAGAGTGGCTGGATTCTAGTAGAAATATTGAGCAGAAATAACAGGAAGCTTCTGTGCATTAAAAAAAAGATATGAAATCTTCCACATGTGTGTGGGCAGCATGCACAGAGGTAATTCTGAAAATGTTTAATGTTGAACAGCAATAGTGTGTTGATTGCTGTAGTCTGAATTAGTAGTTTTACTAGAAGGGGTCTCACAGGCAGAACATGAGGAATGAGGACCTTTGTGCCATGAAGGTGAAGCCCAGGCTTTCTGTTGGGACCGACTGAAGTCGGTGTCTCTGGCTCTCCTCATGCACTCAGGCTCCTCTGCAAGTAGCTAAGACAGACTTTGCACACATGAGCATGGCTCTTTCCTTAGCATGGCCCGTGTGTTTTCCCTTACTTGGTTGGTTTTGCTGAGTCCAGAGGACAGCTTTATTTGGTTCTCTGTCATTGTCTGGTTCACTACGCATTTGCTCCTATTGATCAGCTTCTGCTGTCAGGAACGCTTAGGAAAATGTTATTTTCCCAGGCTAGCCTGTCATTTCTGTTTATGAAGAAATTTCATGAGCTCACCTCACTTAATCCACTTAACTATTTTGTTTTCCTCTGACTTGGGTCTTCTTCTGTGCCCTCGGGTAACATTTTTCAACATTAAGATTCACCATCCTTGGCTGACACAGCTGAAGGGAGTGGGAGAAAGGCAGACAAAGAGTACTGCTCTCAAAACAGCCTGGTCTTTAAAAACTCTGTAACAAAAGATGTCTCTCCAGCTACCAGGAAAATCTCACTGCATACCTGCTGAAAGGGACAGAGAGGAGTTCTCTTGTTCTCTTCCTCTGTATGGAAAAACAACACTTTTCTTTCTCACGCCAAGCATTATTTTTTGCCTCTGACAGGGCTCTTCTCTCAGGAATGAGGTTACTTGGTACATCTTTATTGAAATGCTGCCTCTGCTGAAAGCTCTGTACAAATACAGTTTTCCAATATTGGCTTTTGGAATCTACTTTCAATTTTATACCTCTGCTCTACCACTGTCTCATTCCTGAACGGGACAGAGGAAGGACAGTCAGTCTCTGGCACATCCATTTTTTAGCCTCTTCCAATGTGATCAGTAAGTAAACAAGTTAATATGGTAAATTTCAGGTCAGGGAATGTAACCTAGTGACCAAGAGCCATCTGTTCCCCCACTGACCATATTCCTAGTGAAAAGCTATCTAAGAATATATTTTTGTCCTTCACATATTTTTTTATTTGTATGTTCTACTGGACCAGAAGTTGCAGTGGAACCAGTAACATTGTGTGCAAATGTTCCTACATGTAGGAAGTAAAGAAATACTCATTCTCAACAGGCAAATACGGCTTCTTCTGAGCTTTATTTATCAAATGACAAAGTTTTTCTTGTATTTTCTAATTATGTAGCAAATACAAGAGAAGATGCAGATTTCAGGAGGCCTCTAAATACGGGGAAAGGATTGTAACCTATCTGAACTCCATAGGTACATTGCAGCCATATCTGAAAACAGAATGGACCGTGGAGTGCCTTAGAATTTGAAATCCTTCATAATCCTGGTACTTCAGCTTAAATTTGTTTCCAGTACTTCACTTTTCTATTTTTTTTTAATTATTTTTTAATAATGCAGTTTGGTTATTTAGACATTTATTTTCCAAAGACTTAAAGGTTTTACTATGAGGATCAAGAAAACTGACTGCTCTTACCATGTGCCCACTCTGTTGGCATGGGCTTCTTTTAAAACACATTTCTGATTTCTGACCATTTCTTAGGTGTAAGTTGTGTGTGGGCTGTGCACAGGGTGGAGCTCTCCAGGTCATGGTACTGTCATGGACACACCTCCTGTCCCTGATGTGCTGACTGACGCTCTTACCACAGATGCACTCACCTCACTGTCAGCCAGGTATTCCCAGTCCATCTGGCCAGCCAGATGGTGCCAGAGCATCCCCAGCAGATCTGTCTCTGCACAGAAACATCCTCTGGAGCAGCCATTTTTTAAAAAAAGTTCCACTTTGAGGTACTAGTGAGCACCAGAGTAGCTTATGTGACAGGATCCAGCTCCCACTGACTCTGTCCCTGCAGCCCACCCTCACCATCACAAGGACCAGCCTTCAAGGACCTGCCTTCAGCCTCACAGCCCTGCTTCATGTTGTGCACAATAATAAAGACACTGAGGGGAGCAGAAGAGAGAGAAATAACTGTTTCTCCTGTGGCTGGGTTTACTACAAAACAAGGAGAAAATCTGATTTTGAATTCTGCAGTGCTTCCATGCTTCACACAGCACTTCTTTATTCCTGTCTGGCATACCCTGGACAGGAGCACATGGCAATGTGGTGGTCAGCAGTAAGCTCCACACTGCACACAGGTATTGTTCTACTCTGTAAACCCTAATATATTCATGCAGTTTGCCTGACAGCACCAGATCTGTGGAGTATGTGCATCCCAAAAGGGCATGGTGCGGCCCAGAAGTCAAAATTATCTGGAAGCACCAGACTTAGTGTGTATGCATTGAGGAGTAAAGTGGCCCACAGATGTCTGGGATTTCTTAGACTTTAGCAGATTTTCCAGATTGTGATGGTGTAGCTGATCAAGCTGCCATCTGAAATCCCAGATAAATAGGGATGTCTAAGAAAAGCTAAATTAGACATGCAAAATCCCTGTTTTAACAATGCAGCTGTTGGACAAGGAGGGTTCCCTTCATTCCAGTGGATGTCTGGCACTAATGTAGGGAGCCTCTTTTAGTCTCTAGCCGCAGTATTTGTTTGCTTTAGCTATTGCTAAATATTCCTGGGTCTGGGCTCCAAAGTGAATCCAGCTCTCCCGCACAGTCCGTGGGGGTAAAGGGGGAATGCGTCAGCAATCCCTCTGCTTTTTTCAGTGGCACTGATAATTTTTGAAAGGTCTTGTACCTGGGTTAAGGGACGGAAATGGCTGTGAATACTAAGGAATCACAATATTTTGTGTTGAGAAGTAAAATATGAAAAATCAAGCAGAGGGTGAGACGTGTCTATCACCTTGTTCTGTTGGCTTCCTTAGGAGCCTCATTTGCTCACCAGCTTTGCCATTTCCAATCTAGGAGCAGAGCTCAGAGCCACAATCCTCCTCTCACCAGGCAAGCGACCAAAGCCTGCAAAGCTGAGTACATGGGCCTTGCCCCTTTTTGGAGATTCAACTTCCAGCCCCTCCCTCTTGCTAGCACCTAAAAAACTCCAGTATTTTGGGTGTTATTAAATATCTAGGGCTCTCTCATCACATTTCTGAGAAGAAATAATGTCCACCTTTTGTAAAAATTAGAACTGAATATCTGAAACACCAGAAAGAAAATTGCAACAGTAGGAAATGATGAGAAAAGTATGATGAAAACACATGGCCTCTTTTCAGAAGTTTTGAGGGCAGGGCTTTCAATCTTGAATAAATTCTTTTGTGTTTATTAATAGTATTTGCTTTCTCAGGACATGCATTTATAC